GTAAGAGTAGCCCAATTAAACACTGGGCCCACGTCACTCGTAGACAACGCAACAACATACTACAAGCCACCCTTAAACTAGATCTTAAAGACAAAAAAGTCGGTAGACCATGCTTCACATTTCATGACACGTAGCACAATACATGCACTTCTCACAAAGTAACAAGACCAGTTGGGAGCAACTAAACAACAATAAAAAAAAAAAAATAAATAAAAACAACCGACACACTTTACCAAGTTCAGGAACTATCCGACACGGATAATGACAATAATGAACAAGACGAAGACCTCGACTAGGAAACTACACCCCTGCAGCGTAATAACAACTCCCCAACTCCAAATAGTAATCCCAAATGTTTGGAGTAATACTAACCGACTGGTCTAGGGGGATTCCGCGTCGTACTTAGTTTTAAGTCGGCGTAATTGTCCCCCAAAAACCAACTCCCTCCCGTTCCTCATCCATACCTCACTGAGCGTATAGCATAGGCCCGGCGAACCCGGGAACGGCTATTATAACTATTCGCCTCTCGCTCTCGAGCCCCAAATAGGGGACAGTACGGAACGCAATGGACATTCGCACCCAGCAAACACGGGTGAAGCCGTGCAGTTGCTGGGGAAGAACAAAAATCGGCGTAAGTAAACATAGGCCTGTACGGGGTTTGAGAGTCAAGAGGAAATGGGGCTGGTTATCGTCTCTTATACTCATACTCATACTCAAAAAAGTTATGCTGTCGTAGCGTATCTTGCGTATTTTGTGGACTAGAACATTTAATGTTCTTTTTAAATATTATTGTTTTGATTATATCCGGTAGCGCACAAATTCAACAACGTTTTTTGTGAGGAAAAATCCTATCAAAAAAGTAAAAGCCTAAAAATAAAAATAAGATTTTATAGAACCACACAAATATACAGTTTGTTTTATTTTATTCGGTATTTATTTAAAAATGGACCATTTAAAAAAATTTAGTTTGTATTGTACGCGCAAAGTACTATCGTTTAAAGAAAAGTACATTGTAATATGTCATTTCTATGACCCTCTAGGACCCAAAAACCCCTAAAACGAAAAATAGATATAAATTCTAAAAAGACCTTCTATTAATCATAGAGGGCCATGGAAATTATATATGACAATGTTTCTTCAAAATATAAAGTTTTTCGAGTAGTATAGACTAAGAACAAATATTTTTAAATCGAATAATTTTTAAATAAATGCCCAATTGTCGTTGTTATGTACGGAGCTAGAAGCAAACTTTGTCAAATTTGACAAACTGTAGTTTCAGTCTTCCTTATAAAATTTATTGAAAACCCTAAATGTGATTTTTTATTCAATCTCAAATACAGAGTTATTCTTTACAACAAAATAATGGCTCACTAAATATTTGAACTCTTAATATTAAGTACTTTCGTAGTAATGTAATGTAAAATTAGTTTGTGGAATGACCCATATGTATTAATATTATTTAAATCTGGGATTTAAAATGCGAGTCTTTTATTATGTCTAGTATACCTGCCTACCGTATGTCAAGAAGAATAGGGACAACCAAATTAGAACTAAATTATGAAAATGGGAAAATGCAAATTGTCTGTTTTGTATTCCTAACGATGCAAAATTGTATTAGAACCTGAAAAGAAAATATTACAATAAAATTTATAATATTTCACGTAAATAAATATAATTAATTTAATTCAAGTAATAAATGCTCATTATATTTGACATACTTTAATTTAATTTGAAAATATAAAAATATGCATAAGTACATGTACTTAAAAAAAGTAGTATGTACAGATTATAAATTATATTACATATTATGTTTTAATATTCTTTTTGTGTGTACAGGGTGGTTCAATAACGGAAAATTTCGAAAAAAATGTTATTCGATGCGCAAACAATCCTGATGCATTTTTAAAACACCCTGTATAGTTTGTTTTGAATTTGAAATTGGGGGATTTTTAATTACAGGATATAAAATTTCTTTAAAAAAATTAATGTAGGGTATAAATGGTTGCGCCTTAGTGTATTCACGTTTTAATAAATATTTATCACGCAAAAAAGTACTTCTTGTAAATGTTGCTTTAAGGATCCGTTTTCGATATATGTACGTTTAAATTGTTAAGTTATTAATTTGTTCTTAAAATAAATATAAAATTTAAAAAAAAAAACGAACTTTTAACTTTCTCTCCATGTACCTATCTTGGTTATTATCAACATTTGTATAAAAGAAAATTAAGTTATATATAATTATTTAAGTCTCAGTAACATGTGGTATTATTTTGTATACAGGCATTTTAGAGACACCTTGTATAGAAAACAGCAAAAGAAAAAAATATGTACACGCAACCATTCACAAAATGTTATATCATAGTTGTTTGTTAAAATAAAAAGGCTACCGCAAAATAGTAGGTACTTTTAAGCACATATGTGCTTATATATATATAATACTCGTATGGTCAGGTCAGTATTATTTTATAAGTGGTCCAGTCAAACGTACATTTTGCTCCACATTAAATGCAAACGTTTTCATACTTTAAGGCAAGGTGGTTTACCCCTTTTCTTCCCTTTGATAAACTCGCAAAAGGATGGCCGCCATGTTTAGGAACATAATAACAACTTTTGTTTGAAATGGAATATGGCCATCTGAGACAGTAATTGCTTAAAACAAAACTTGTTGCTTTAAAATTCTCCATATACCTACTTATCTTTAATAAATATCTAATCTAAGTGGCCGAGTTAATTAAAAAAAAGTTTCCAGGGGTTTCAATAAGCGAAGTTACAGTTAAAAGTATTGCAAAAAAATTTTCAAGGACAGACACCGTTCAAAAAATATAAAAATAGAAGAAAAGATTGGACAAAGACGATGCGGCCACAGTTTTGGCAGATCACTTTTGCAAAGAATATTTAAGATGAATAGGTTAATTCTATACAAACCTAAATTTCGTCACACTTTGGAACTAAACGACTAAAGACTACTTTTTTGTTTACTAAATCGTAGGTTTGGTTAGATAAGAATCCAAATTTTAGAATAAACTGTACATTGTACAGTGTACAAGCCAGTATTAAAAAGTGAATGTTTTGTGTGCCGGTACCACCGCATAATTGGACCCTAATTTTTGGATGAAAATTTAAATCAATACGTGTCTAAAGATATTTTTTTTACAAAATTACCTTCATGAAATGAATTTGGCTAAGAGACAAAAAATGTATCAGCAAGACCGTTGCACACTGAACTATTTTGATAAGGAGTTCTTTAAACAATACATTTGGGGAAAAATAGAATGATATATTTGGGCCACAGCCATACCCACCAAGAAGTCCGGATTTAACAATTATGGATTTTTACTTTTGGAGCAAACAACAAGTTTATAAATACAACTTTAACAATTATTTAAAAAGATTAAAAATTACTGATGTGTTTAGAGCCATACCTAATAAAGAAATAATTAAGAAAAAGGGTAAAATTATGTATACATTACTATATGCTCCGAAGCCTCCTTAAAATCTAACTTGTTCAATAAATGGTGTGAGGAAGATGGACTAACTATAAATTAAAACAAAACATTTTATATACGATTTTTACCAAAAAATGTTTCTCCAGATTACAATTTATTTATTCCAATTTTGGGTCAATTGAATCTGTGGAAAGCATAAAGTTCTTGGGGATTTACTTGGATCGAAAACTAACATGGGAAACACAAGTAAATAATTTAAATAAAAAAATAAGTTATGCTTGTTATGTAATAAGGTCACATAAGGAGGGTCGGTAACCTTTTGAGTACTCAGGCTTTTATACTTTGGAGTAGTACAGGCACATCTTGTCTATGGAATTATATTTTGGGGTAGCTCAAGTTATTTCAATAAAGTTTTTATAGCGAAAAAGAAGATCCTTAGGTCCAACATATTCTTGTAAACCTCTGTTTAGGAAATACAAAATTTTAACTCTTCCCTGTTTGTTTAGTTTTATTCATTTTTGAAAATAAAAAAGATATTTTAACACATGGTAACATACATAGTTATAACTATGTGCCAAAATCAGTAAGTTTTGCTATTTTTTAGGCTCTCTGTATGTCAAACGTCTTTTATTTATATGGGAATTAAATGTTATAATAAAGTTATGTCTATTGTGTCTTGTTGTAAATGTTCAAAAATGTTAAAATGCAGATTGCAGACTTTGTTTTTAGAAAAAATATATTATTCTGTGTACCTACATAGGTGTTTAAACATAATTTCTTTATTTTTTTACTAGTCCAATATGTTTTATGGAATTAAATGCTGTAAAACTCTGTGATCAATAAAAATTATTATTATAGTAATTTAAGTGGGTCACTATTTAAATAGGTTTTTAGTTGGATTAGTTAAAATAGTTAATTGTAGTACTACTTTTTTGTTGTTTAAATGCAATGAAGGTTGGGATATGGCTTTTATTATAAATGCAAAATATTTAATCCCATTGAAATTTTTCGTATAATTAACTACAACGATTTATTTTCTTTTTAGATTAACTCGCGAATTAGATCCCTTTTAAACTGTATTTGGTGAAAATTGATTTCAGGTCAAGCAGGTCAAGACTGCAAAAAATAAAAGCTAACTACTAATATTTTTCAAAGTTAAACCGGGGACACACTGTATAATTATTATAAGTAAGAGTTGTTTCTATTAAAAACGAGATACGCCTTTTCGTATTTGCCACGGCAATATAAATAATAATGAACACATAATTTTAAGGAAGAGAAAACCTAAGAAAATATCAAATTATTTTTTAGTTGATTGGTAATACATTTTTCCATATAAATAAATTAAATCGATCAGTGTTCATCAAAAATTTTATTTTAATTATTTTTAGAAAGTTTCATAAATTTCCTCTTAATCAGCCACTGCGTGGGAATGGTGGAAATAATTATAAAGAGTTTATATAAAGGTGAACGCATTTATTATTACGTAGAATTCCTTTTCATATCAAAACAATTATATTAAACAATGCATTGTTAAGTGTTCAGTGTGAAAAAATGTTTCTCGCCCTCACCCTTATCATAATAATTTTGGTGGTGCTAGCATACCTAGACACTAAAAAACCGAAAAACTACCCGCCAGGGCCGAGATGGTGGCCCCTGATTGGTTCGGCTATCGAAATCATGGAGGCCAGGAATCGTACCGGGTACCTCTTCCAAGCCACCGCTGAATTGGCTGATAAGTACGGCCCTGTGCTGGGCCTTAAATTTGGCAGAGACAAATTGATTGTGGTGTATGGCCCTGAAGCGATTAGGGAGTTTTTGTCTTCCGATGATCTAGCTGGAAGGCCTCACGACGAGTTCTATAGGATGAGGACTTTTGGAAAACGAAGAGGTTAATTTTTTTGTAATTAAATTTTGTGTAGTTTTGTTAATTTTATATTGTAGGTATTATTCTGGTTGATCAAAATTTTTGGACAGAACAAAGAAGATTTTTGCTTCGTCATTTAAGAGAGTTCGGTTTTGGTAGAAAAAGCATGTCCTCCATGATTGAAGAAGAAGCAGCTCATATGGTTGAGTACTTAAAAGAAACTATATTACATCATGATTCTGTGGTTTTTAGCATTGAAACAATTTTCAACGTTCCTGTGTTAAATACGTTGTGGAAAATTATAGCTGGTATTAGATATCATCCGGATGATGAGAGGGTCAAACATTTAATGGCGATCATGTCGAAATTATTCGGTACAGTTGATATGAGCGGTGCTTTATTTAGCAGGTTTCCAATTTTAAAGTACATAGCACCAGAAATGTCGGGGTACAACTTAATGGTGGACATGCATGCACAAATATACGAGGTCATTGGGAAAGTATTAAAGGAACATAAAGCCTCTCATAATCCTAATGATCCCAGGGATCTTATGGACGTGTATTTAACAGCTTTAAAATCTGACAACCCAGGCGAAAGTTTTTCAGAGCAGCAACTCATGGCTGTCTGCTTGGACATGTTCATGGCTGGTTCAGAAACTACAAGTAACACTTTGACTTTTGGCATACTGTACTTGATTTTGAACCCTGATGTGCAAGCCAAGGCTCGCGATGAAATCGACAAAGTTATTGGCAAGGAGAGGAGACCCAACCTTGATGATAGACCACAGTAAGCCCAAAAGATTAATGATGATAGCATTTTAATGGTTTTGTTTATAGCTTACCCTATCTAGAGTGCGTGGTTTTAGAAACATTGAGAATGTTTACTGGAAGGGTGTTCACTGTCCCCCATAGAGCTCTTAAAGACACGTATCTAAATGGATATTTGATTCCTAAGGTAAGAAATTATTTCTTCAATGTAACAAATTCTAACATTATTGATTTAGGACTGTCAAGTCATAGCAAATTTACATGGAGTAATGATGCGACCTGAAAGTGGTTTTGATGATCCCGAGGCTTTTATTCCTGAACGATTTCTTAAGGATGGGAAAATCAGCCTTCCAGATAATTATATGCCCTTTGCCATGGGCAAACATAGATGCATGGGGGAAACCCTAGCAAGGGCGAACGTTTTTCTATTTTTATGCACCATGTTGCAAAATTTTCAGTTTAGTATAGTGCCTGAATGTCCACCGGATATGCAGATGTTTGATGGTGTTACTCCTGCTATGAAGCACTTTAAAGCAAGGGTTATTCCTAGGTCGTAAATATTTTTTGTATAACAAATTCATTATTGGGATGGTGAATGTCGCGGAGAGAGTACCTATTGCATTATTTAATGAAAGTGGTTTGTGTTGTTATTTAATTACAAAGTGCAGTGCTGGCTGGTGCGTGAAAGTGTTCGACAAGGATAATTTACTTCGAGACTTAATTTATTTAATTGGGATTACCTAATGATTCGGTAAATAATAATGCACAGGGACTTCAAAACAATGTTTAAATTTTTTAATTTTTTTGCAATTGTTCTATTACAAGCATTATTACGTTATAGTACATTTTATTAAAAATATATATTAACCCAAAAATTGTTCTATATATTTTTAGTAAGTTCGGTCAAGTTTATTTTTTCAGCTACACAAAATATACAGGGCAGGTTATCTTCACTATAAAAAAATTACAAAATATGTTTTGATAAAGTCTGGGGATTCTAGGGATATAAAATTTTATTTTATTGATGACTTTTTCTTTTTATTATTCTTAATAACTTACTACAGGTTGACAAAAAAATGTAATTTTTGTATAAAATATATCCCTTAATCTCGTGGTATAACGTTAAAGTACCATTTTCTCGAAAAGGAAAGTATTTAAAAATAAAATACTGATATTTTTCCCATTTTACACATTCCTAGGAAGGGAAAGTCGGTTAAGATATTTATATTGACATAGGTATTATGTAAACCGATGATTAAAGTACTCAGAGAGACAACGTTTTCGTTATTCGACGATAAACGTCCAATCCTTATCAATAAAGAAAAATCCTTATCGATGAGAATTTTTTTTAGCGACCTGTTGCGTATGAATTTTTTTCCTTAGCTGTTAATCGTATGTAATTTTTAATTAAAAAAAAATAAGTGTTTTACCCCTTGATAAAATCGTCGCAACAAGGAAACAAACTTTCTTTTTAAAAAACTTTGTTTTAATTACCTGTTAATATTTGTTTGACAAAAGTAAAAGTAAATCCATTTTCCAACATTTTTGTATTTACAATATGTTATTTGACCCCTGGAAAGTTTTTTACTAAATTTTGTAATTTTTTTTAGTTCATAAACACATTAGAACAATCAAACAAAGCACTAGTGGTAAAAAGAGGAGACTGTTTGAGAGTGCAGTAATTTATAGCCAATTTAATTTGGGATTTTATTATCTGGCAACTGTAAATCAGTTTTAACCTCATTTTTTTCAATTTTAACTTAAAGCCACTAGTGGGCGAAGCAAAATTTCGCCCAACGATGAACCTTAAGAAGTGATATGGGTGTTGAATATTAGTATATTGTGCGACTAGTGGAAGAAAAAGAAGATTCGTCGAGCGTGGTATTTAAAGGCAATTTTATTTGATGATATTTTATTTGACATTTGATACCTGCAAAGTAGTTTAAAGTGAGGCTAACACTTTTATCCTCACTTTTTTTAATTTTAACTTTAAGCTAACTTGAGCCCGTGGGTAAAATGAACTGGCAAGCTCAATTATCGACGCACAGTGGGACATAAATATAATATAAAAGTATAAATTATAAAAAGTAAAAATATAATATAATAGTATTATATAGATAATGCGCATATCTTAACTTACTATGCTTATATACGATAATTTTCATTAATAACAAAATTTATTATAACCTCACTTTCCCCCGATTTAAATGATCATTATAGTCGCCCCTCGTATATATAAAAAATCTAACATCTCTTGGAAAGTTGCAACCTTACTTTTTCCAATTTAAAAACCTATTAAATCACAAAATTTGTAATCCACTAATGCCTAAAAAACTGAATAATGAGGTCATTATTCCTCTTGTTAGGCGGAGCGGTTATAATGGTTACCATTATACACCGTTTTCAAATTTATTTGCTCATCATTGCTACCATTCTAACTTCATTATAGTGGATATACAAAGACGGTTAAATTATACAATTTTCTGACATTTTTGCTTCCTATTTAAATGGTGAAAACAGAAATAATTTTGAACATCGGGTTGCCAAAATATTCACAAAAATAACATTTTTTTTAATAGGACACCCTGTATATTTTGACATATTTTAAAAGACAATTTTATTTGAAAGAAAAAATTATTATTCCATAACTACCCTAAACCTAAAAATAAACAATAAACAGCACTTTCTGATGGTTGTTGAAATAACCAAAATATTACTTTATTTAACTACAATCAGAAAGTTTAAGTGCTTATTAATTATTTATTTTTAAGTTTAGGGTAGTAGGGAAGTAAAAATATAAAGGGTGTTCCATTTAAAAAAATGTTATTTTTGTAAATATTTCGGAAACCATGGTTTCCGAAATATTTACAAAAATAACATTTCTTTAAATGTAACGTCAGACGTTAAATTGTTTTTCTGTTTTCACAATTTTAATTAGAAAAAATGCCACCAATTTACTAATTTAACCGACTTAGTGAGAAGATAACTTGTATAGAGAAAAACCCAAGTAATGTCAATAATATGTAATAGGAGTGGACAAAATATAATTGGTACCACACGGAAAAAAATAATCGGTAGAGGCTACCGATTGGCAATCGGCAGCAGCTACCGATTGCCAATCGGTAGACTCTACCGAAAAAATCGGTAGACTCTACCGAAAAAATCGGTAGACTCTACCGAAAAAATCGGTAGTCTCTACCGAAAAAAAATCGGTTCCCTCAACCGATTTTTATCAGTAGTAGCTACCGATTATTTTTCGGTAGAGTCTACCGATTTTTTCGGTAGAGTCTACCGATTTTTTCGGTAGCCGTAACCGAGAAAGCCGCATCGATGCGCTGTTTGAAAATTAAAAAAAATATATTAATACTTAAAAATATTAACATTTAAAAATAATATTAAACATTATTCAAGTTAATAAAAATTACTCTTTTCAGTCAAACATTTTGAGATGGTATTCATTGTAATTATTAAAAAATAGTCAGTGTAAATAATTGTATATATTTTCTCATGTTCTCGATTAAAACATTGTATTTTGATCAACACTATCATGCTTATTGCGTTGAAATTGATTATAAATCAAGTATGACAAAGAATAAGAGCAAATTACCAAATTTAGAACCTTGTTTATTAATACAAAAAAAAATCTCTACTTTGTAGCCACCAGACATTTAATTTAATATTTATTTAGAATTGTAAAAAATTTAATAAAAATTACTCCTCATTTTTAATATTTTTGTATTTCAAATTTATTTATACCTCAAAAAAAAAATACTATTTTCTATTTAATAAAAAGCGAGTATTTAACTTCTCGCTAAAAAAAATACAAAAAATTTCAAAAATTGGTAATCGATTTTTTCGGTAGCCTGCACCGAAAAAATCGGTAGACTCTACCGAAAATAATCGGTAGCTGCTACCGATAAAAATCGGTTGAGGGAACCAATTTTTTTTTCGTGCATTTTCACCATTTTTAATTAGAAAAATATGCCACCAATTTACTAATTTAATCGACTTTGTGAGCAGATAACTTTGTATAGAGAAAAACCCAAATAATTTAAATAGTAGACAAAATATAATGGGTAGCATTTTACCATTTTTAAACATATTTGTCTTAATAATTTCCAAGATATGATAAAATCTCAATAAATAAAAATATACTTAATAAAAAGACCATGAAATCGTATTTTATTATCAAGATTGATCAGCAGTGCGATAAAAAATAAAACGATAAATCTTAAGAAAGATACGATAAACTATATGATTAGGAATGCATAAAATACTTGTTGCACTGTGCGACGTTCAGTTCAAATTTATGGCCGTCAACTAGGTTTTTAATTTATATTTTTGAAAAATGGCCTCTTAATATGCGTAAGTACAACAAACACAGCAAGAGCCGAATGTAATATTCGCCTTTTCCACAATGAAAACATCAAATTACATGGGATTTTATTTTTTCGTACCGGCATATATCTTTCTGTTTATGATCTGACGAAAGATAAAAACCGTGATAATAAACCGGGATTTTCAACGTATATTAATGTGATATATGCAAGTTTTAAAGCATCATTCAAAATGGGATACCTACGCCTTTCACTAAGAGCTATAAGAGCTTTTTAATGAACGGCATATATTCTAATTTGGAATCTCCAAAGGTGATTTGTTTTATCCATAATAAAATAAGGTCATTGAATTCGTTTTGTATTTAGGATAGTATTTCGGTTGTTCTATAAGGTAAGTCACTGATTTTAGTGGTGAATTAAATTTGTAGTTATTTAATGTAGTTTCACTTAAAATCTAACTAAGCCTTAAAGTTCACTAAAATAATTATTTATGGCATAAGGCTGAGAATTGAGTCTTTTTGTGCTGAGCTCAAAGTTTAAATGCCGATGCGTAGCGGAGGACTTCAATTGAGCGAAACAAAAAATACACTTATTAGCCGTGGTATGCAACATTTTATCATCAAGGAATAATTTTACAATACATAAAACGTATAATAATTATAAAAAGTAAAATTAAGATTGGATTAGACCTGACAGTTGTCGAATTTTATGATTGGTCCAAACGGGTTTTTACAAACTAGGAGGTTAAAAACTTAACTCGATTGGTCTATATTTATTTCTGATGCTAGATTGCAAAATGCACCAGGCGCTATCGCTCACAAAAAAATAATTCGCAAGAATGCAAAAGAATTTCAAAATCGCGTATCAAACAACATTTTTTTGAAAGCTGTATTACTAACAATGTAAGGAGAAAATTTTGAAATGGATGTAAGTATTTTGCGTACATAGCAACTAATGTAAAAGACCTTGGGTCTTTTACAGACTAGGATGTAAAAACTTCACCTGATTAGTCCAATTTATTTTTACAGGCAATAATAAAGCTTAAATAATAGAACACTTGAAGATAAAAATAATTGATAACTATGTATTTTAACCTTACCAATATAACACAAATTAATAATAATCTTCCCAAACAAATTATTAGCCCGCTAGATCAACAATAGTCAATCAAAAATCAATTCAGAGATTTAACTTGTCTCACGACAACTCAAAATCTATCC